GACACTTCCTTATTCATCTCTGAGACTGTAAGTTGTTGCCTAGGCTGTCTGGATCCAGGTCTAGATACTGAGGTCTTCTCAAGATCCTATGTTAAGTGTTGTATCCATATGGAAGGAGGAGTAAGTTTTGGACCTTAATGTTTTTATGATACAATCCTGTTCTAAAGCAGCGTGCTTGGCTGGCTGTTTACAGGATTGATGGGATTATGTGGAACAAGATGCACCTTGATAACAACAGTAGCATTTATGCTGGGGCAGAGTAGGACTGTGTTCATGTAAGTAACATATGACTATGGAAGAGTGGCTTGGACTCTGAGCTGCTTGGGAATATATGCTGGGTCTGGAATAGGAAAGGGAGCTGCCCTTTCTTCAAGGTCAAAACAGAAGAAAAATTGTTTTGTTGTTCTTCAGCCTGCCCCTGAAATGTGAGAGTTTCATGGTGACCTGCTGGCGCTTGATTTTTCAAGTTGACATTACTGTATATGTTGGAGTACCAAGAAATTTTCCATTGTTTTAGGTAGGAGCAAACCACACAGAGTAACTTGGTTTATTTGCACATCTTGGAAGACTATTCTGCAGAAAACATATTCTCTGGGTTGTCATCTGTGTAATGAGTTTGTGGTTATCTTTCTACTGTAAGAGAAATATCATGTTTATTGAAAAAATTTTGAACTCAATTCCTTCAAATTCCTTTCTAATAAGAAAGATACTCTCCTTCATGACCAGAAACGTTTTCTGTGGTAATTGTTTACCAGTGAGTCCAACTCGGAGGTTCTCTATTCATTCTCAGCTAGAATTTTAATTCACTCTTAACTGTAAGTCTGAGATCTCTTCGGTTTTGGAGCCAATAGTCAAACTCTTATTTTCCAAGAGCTGCCTCTGAAATGCCAGTGAAGATTTTAACTGCTTCAAAGGCAGGGAGTATGGATAAGGATATGGGTAGAATATGTGTATTCTACACATCTTGTGTAGAAATAAACTCATAATTTGAGGTAGTTGATTTCAATCTGCTGTAAATATTTTAGTTCCAAGTGGCATGGTTTGAGATCAAGCTGAACAGAATATTGGGAAAACTGTTCTCCTTAACCATCTGCTTAGTTGCAAGTGAAAAAATGCTCTTATGCCTGTGTAGGAAGACAAAGTGTGATAAAGCCTGAATCACACATGAACTTATGGTGACTAGCCACAAAGATGAAAGCATGCCCTAGTTACCTTTTGCAGCCTCACATTTCAGCCTCCAGTCAAATGCAACTTAATACTGTTTTTTAGGTAAAGTACTATTCTTTCTGGAGAGTGGAGTGGGTATACTTATGAAAGTTCTTGTTAACTCTTGTTAACTGTGTCTTGGTTAACAAGACACTGGTAACTTGTCACCGGGGTATAGTTAAGCAGAGAAAGTCTGGACGATGTAGTCTCTCTCCTGTGTATTGCTGATTTTTGACTTGGCTGCAGGGTTATGTTTAAAGCTTTCTGTTGAGCTGAATTACTTTATTCTGGGAGATGGGGAGGAGGGAAAGTTGTCCTCCACACCTCTTGTTCCGGTGGTATAATACTATTGCTGTTAGCTATTCCTTAGCTGACTCTCAACAGCAAAACTTTAATACAGATTTTTATTTCATTGTGTTTGCTTCCCACAGGAGCAAGGTTGGGGCAATGAGAGGAAAGCAGCAACGTGAGATCCACCCCTAGATGCACTCTCATTCCCTGTATCTGGTCATGTAATCTCTTGTCCCTGAGATTTCCACAGCCCTACACTTCAGGTAGCATCTGTAAAACCACTCTGGTGAGCGGACCAGACAGTGCTGATTTTTTTTTGTTGTTTGGTTGTTTTTTTTTAATTGTTGTTAAGCCCTTCTGGTTTGGCAATGCTTTTGATACTCAAGTATGTTGGGACCTTCATCTTCTCAATGTAGGGCTTGGAACTGTCTTCTAATCTGTGCAGTGCTCTGGCTGTAGTGAGGTTTCAAAGTCATCTAGGAGCATAATGAGCTTGGCTTTTTTGGTGATTTCCGTTTGTGGAGTGTCATAGGAGAAACTGTTTTGGTTTTTGGTTTTTGTTTTTTTTTCAGCGAGTTAAAATCCTTTATTTTTATAACTTCTCAAATTACTCCTTTCTTGCAGAATTATAATCCTATTCTTTTTTAAAAGTAAATGCATCCCACTCTATTCCACAACCACTTATTTCCTTCAGTAACAGGAAGAAACACATATTTAGTATAACACAGCAGCTTAGTTTATTTGGAAATATGTTTAACTTTGCTGAAGAGATTCAGTAGGCCTAGGGCAAGGTACAGGAGAAACATTTGCTGGTAGAATTAGTACAAACAGCACTTCAGCACTTTTTTTTTCCTCAGTAGACCAAGATCGTTTCCTGAATACAGCCATGTTTACCAGTTCATAGAGGAAATAGTGTGTCAAATCCACCTTAAATTTTTTTTCTTTTTCTGATGCCTTGCCTTCTTTGTGAAGTGATAAACAGCCAGGATTTCCAGGAGAGATTTTGGGTGCCTCAGTCAACCGATGTCCTCCTTTGCAGACAGCAACAGGTATCTGAAAATCGGCTCTGAAGTGCTGCCAGTTACTCAATGTAGTCATCTGAAGATACCTGTCTGATGTTTTCTGCTGATTTTACATGTGGGGATTGCATAATGTGCTATGTTCATAGGATTGTGGAAGTCACAAAGCCCCTTATGGTACTTGGGAATACTCACTGGTTTAGTCTGATTTTTAAAAACAAGGACCAAGATTTTTGCACACTTAATTCCTTCCTAAGTTTAACTTGTTTAATTACAATCATTATGTTCAAAGTAACCCATTAGGGCTCTGCTGTGTTCTGGATGGACAACACTGTAAGCCAGTGTTGAACACAGTTGAGAATCTGACCTCACAGTCTAAAAAACCCAGGACTTTATTGCTAAGCAGCATCACTGACCCCCTTCTAAAGGAACCACTGGTGCACTGCAGGCAAGCTGTTCAAACCCACCCAAAAATAAAAACAAAACTGAAGCATTTGCTAAATAAAACCAAAACAAACTCACACAAAGAAAACTTTTTAGCTAACCCAAGCTAGAACTTCTGAAAATGAAGTTTACTCTCATTAATACTGCTGTACTTCAGGTCCCTTTGGGGCATTGGCTACCAGTGCTAACTGTATATTAATATTACATATTCATACCTGCTGTTTTCTCTTCCTCATTTTAATTAAAGGAGGGGACTCTGTAGCCTAGTCAGGAGTGTTGCATCCCAAAAATGTCTAGCTCCGTTTCCCATTAATGAAATTTTTTCACACAAACCTACATTCCATCGATTTTACTTTTCTTCCCAAGGGACTACAGATTCTGTGCAGCATGCAGGGATCACCCCAGTCATCAGCACAGCCTGGTTTAAACACTAATGTGCATAACTCACCTTTTGTCTTACAAAAACTGTGTGCCAAGTCCTTCTTTGGGACCCTTTATCAGCATTCACAGTACTTGGTTGTAACGGTTGATCCTCCAAAGGTTTTAAGTTTGGTGCTTCACTACAAGTTTTTTCCGAACTTCCATTTGCCTTTGTTAATGGCACTGAACATCTGCCTCTTGTCTTAAGATACTGATAATTCCTGATGTCTTAATTGGGTACCAGCAAATTCAAGAGGCTGTTGAATTTTATAGAAGCCAGTGGGTATTTCTTCCCCTCCAGTGTGTATTCTCCCTTAAAAGCAGTTTTCCCCATAACCGTTAATGTACACAGGTGCTATACAGAGTCCAACCCATACCAGATACAGTAGATATTAACAGCTACAGAGCTTAATGTGCTGTTATATGTATCAACAAGGATGCAATAACTATATATGACTGTTCAGCCTTTGGATATGTTTTGTCCTCTTTCCTGTGTCTTTGGTTAAAGTAATTAAAGTGCTTCATGTTGTAGTGGAAACCTTTTGTTTTTTTTTTTTTCTTTCCTCCTTGATCCTTAAACCTTAAGGAACTTAGTGACATAGGTTCTTTGTCTCAAGTGAGTCTGCAATACTGAAACAAATTATTCTGGAAATGCAAATGTTCTTCATCAAATCAGTCTGATGCTATGGATTAGGTTTTATTTGTACAAGAATAATCTGAGTTACTTTAGATGGTGTGTATCTCCTTGAACCTTAATAAGATACTTTCTCTCTCTAAAAAATATTACTGTTTATCCTTTTTGGGTAACTGCTGTTAATTTTTTTCTCATTTCCTATAAATGTGGTTCCTTTGTATACAACTACACACTTAGCTGGCTTCACAAAATTGAAGTTCCTCTTGAAAAACTTTATTTTAGGAACTTTTTGCTATCAGTTTGCTATTTCTAAGCCTGAGATTTTCACATTAGATCCATGTACATTTATTTTACTATTTACACCTATCACAGTACGTTTATATGGAATACCGTCACACAGACAAACCAGCTACTGACAGCTAATATAAAGATATTAGATTCCACAAGGCTTAATCTGCATAGAGACCAGAAACACATTAATGGTGAAACACAGATAAGTCTTTCTGCATTTCTCTTAATTTTAAACCCATTTTGTGTAGAATGTGATCTTCCTACCACAAATAGTCTACTTCTGTATTTGTATGTTTGTCTTGTGGCCAATTTGTCTTGGGTGGCTAGTGTCTTCCTATGCTTGATAGTTTATATTTCTTATGGAATATGCAATTAATAGTTGTTTCAAGCATTGTTTAAATATTAGTTAAATACTGTTTGTCTTCCGCTTTCCTCCCAGCAACCTACAAATGTCATACTGCATGTAACTTCTAGTAGTGGACAAAGCTCTCTGGGTGAATATTTCTAACTTCCATGTGACGTGGAGAACTAAAAGAAATGACACAGCTTTGGATTACATCACCTATTTGCAGATTACTGTATCTGTGCTTGCTAAAGGTTTACCAGAGATTCACTTTCCCTGGTGCAAGCAATATTCATTTGAGTTGAGTAATTCAGAAATCATATGGGATATAAAAAAAATCTATCTCTACTTGCAGCATCCTTGTCACTGATGGTCATTCTTTAGGAAGAATTGGAAGTGAAACTCCACAGCAAAGTAGTTGAACATCACACTTGTTTGGTAAGTATTTTGTATGCAACATCAGTTATCCTGAGGTTGCTTCATCTATCAGTTGTACTATATACAGCATTGCCACTTGTGACTTTTGTTTTGAAAAGTAGCCAAAATGGGATATTTCAGCAATTTTTGAGTGCTGTTTGTCAAGGGGGGGGAAAGCGTACAACAAATTCTTACAAAGTGGTGGCCTATTAAAATTGCTGTTTTACACCTTACTGGATGAAATATACCCTTCTTTTCATTCACTTTTATCACTGGGGTGGTTTTCTTGACTCTACTACAGATCTTTTCTGGTCACTGGACAGCCACTATATAGATTTCTTTTGTTTTTAGGCATGCGTGTTGAGTGATCCATGCAACAGTGAAGAAACTGCCATTGTACATTCCATATATTACTGTTGTGCCAGTTGCTGTTGATTCTGTTAGCAGGATGCTGTTAGTTCCCCTCACCCTACAGTTTCATTCAATGAAAACATTTGAAAAGATAAACATGGTAGAGAGCCCAGAGCTACATGATGTTGCATTGTGTGGCCCCACAACAATCTTTAATGATGGCCAATCCTGCTTTGGCAATGGTGGGCTTGCTTGGAGGAGGTTCTGCCTTCTTTTCTGCTGGGCTGCCTGCAATGTTCAAAATAGGACACCATTAAAACCAAGAGTTGGTCAAACTATTTTTTCCTACTTCTGGCTTAAAGAATGCAAGCCTTTCCTCCCCCTGTCCCCCCCCAAATTTTTTAACTCTTGTTTGAACAATACATCTAACACTATGGTAGTAACCCAGCTGGTATGTGGATTCAAACTGCTCAGGAAGTCTTATCTCTTCAGGGGAGTGAGTTAAGAGGGGTTAAAGAATCCAGACATCTCAATGGGAGGGTAAACTTCTTGCATCTTGTTCAATCCAGGTGTCGTTGTTCACAGCCATAGGGTCAGATAACAGGTTCTTCCACAGAAAGTCATCTTACTGTGTTTAAACCCCAACAACTAAGGAGTTGAACAAAAATATTGCTCGAGTTTATTCTCACATCAACTTGGATGTCGTAATTAGGAGAACAAGATAAATGTAGATTTTATTTTTCAGGGTGAAAAGAATCTTTTTACTCTAACATTGCATTTAAAAGGAATGACGTGAAGTAAACTAACAAGGGAGATGAGTCATGCTCCCTGTGACCCAATGGGTATAAATAATTAGTGATGCATCTTAAAGTGTTTCTATCAACCTTATACTTGAACTTCACAGTCATTCCACATTCCTCTGGAAATGCTTTACCAAGATCTTGATCAATGCAAAATGGCAGTGTGTATGGATACAAACAACTTCAGCTGATGGTCCAAATTTACTTTAAGAAGGGCACCACTCTCACTTGACTATCTCCATGCCTAAGAGCTCAGTTTGAGACAAGTCAAAATCAATCTGTTAACTTTTAGAGCTTATGCTGTGACTGTTTTGGTTGAAAGTTGCAGCCGAAAGCTTCCAAGGGAACATGTAATCCGCTTAGTTTCTGAGAAATTAGTGTGTCTGCAGTTCTGTCCATAAATGACTTGGATTGAGGTGATTGAAAAGCCTATTTATGCTGTAAGAAATTTGGGGCAGCTGTGAAAGTTTGCAGTCTTTTCTCTAGTTTCCATCTTGTCTGCAGTAAAACAGGCAAACTTTGCTTCAGATATCCTAGCATATATCTTAAGAGGCTTTTTTCCAGTTAATATTTTTGCAGAACCAGATGGGAAAATGATTGGCAAAAAGAAATTGAGTTGCTTACAAAAGCAGGTTGTAGCAACGTGTATTCAAATATACTTTGCATATTTAAAACACACAAAGCAATTTTAAAGTGGCCATAGATGACTTGGATTCAGTTTTCTGGGGTAACTGGGCATCTGAATTTTAAGTGGCCAGCAATTGTTGACACACTATCTTGTTTCAGGGTGATCTAGCTAGATTAACCTAGCTTTTGGCAGAGGCTGGCCCAGCATGGCCTTTGAAAATGCTCTTTTATCCAGTTGTCTTTGGAGTTTTTTCCTATTGTTTTTCTTAATGTTTAGGAACTCACTGGTAGGAGATTGTGTTGCTTTGTCTAAGGGTTTTAACTTGGTGCGAAGGAATTCAGCCATCTCTTTGTCTTCTTCTTTCTCTCTGGTGGAAAAAAGCAAAATAAATCCATTACAGAAATAACAATGTTTTCTGTGTAAATGGGACAGTAAAAGCTAGAGTAGCTAGGATCAAATCACTAGTAAACAATTGACTTCGTTCTTATTAAAAACACTTAATTTTGCTGCTTATTAAAGAGCAAAATATTTGTCTAAATGAAAACAGTAACAAACTTCTTGTAAAATTCAGAGACAGAATTTTCCCCAAGGTTCTTTACTTGTCTCTGATAGTACTGGATTCATTATATTCCCTAGTCAGTGGATTTAAACCATAATGTATCACCTATTTAAAGTTGGCTTCACAAGTGCTTCAGGATGCTTCCGCTACAAATTGAAGCAGAGGATACATCCTGCTGTGATTGTACTTATTTTTAAAGGCCTGCTTAGACAAAAGACTGGATCTCATGCTCCTCTGCTGTTAGTATTTACCCAGACCAAGTACATTTCTCTTTGCCTGAAGATGACAGCATTAGGCCCGAAATAAAGATTGTGTTGCTAACCTTGATTGTATCTATTACCCTTATTTACATGTTAGTTTCTTTGCTACTTTCCTACTTTAACAATGAGCACACTGATTGAGTATCTCGAGAGTTTTAAAGAAAAGCCTCAGGTTTTACTGCAAATGTGAACTGACACTAATGTATTCACATCTGCATGGTGCATAGCAGTACATTTTCAGTAGCCTACAATTATGGTTCTGTATTGTCTGGCTGCTGCTGAGGTTTTTGCGATTTGCACATTAAACTAGCAGTTGAGAGCTCTGGATTACATTACTAGCTCAGGCTTCTTGTCAGCTGCTGACTTTGGCTAGCTCTCTTTGATCAGCTGCAGGACTCTGGCAAGCTTTCTTCTCTCCTGTCCTTTGCTTGCTTGGAATTCAAATGTGTTGGAAGAGATACTGTCATTTAGGATAAATGGATTGGTGAGCCTTGAATCTTTACTGTTGAAAACTCTATTTGTAGACTATTGGGATCTCAGTGCAACAGCTGGAAATGAACTTCTGAGCAAGACCACAGGTTTCTCAGCAACTTTGGGCTAAGATACTGAGAAGAACCATTCTGAACTTGTTTATGCTTTAGGTTAGGTAGACCTGTGTTAGTGATTGCATTTGCTTTTTCTTTTTTTGCTATGGCAGGGTGAGAACAGTAATAATAAAACCTGAGCACATTAATAATTTGTTTAAAATCTGCCTTTTTTTTTTTTTAATGTCTACAAATAATGCCCCTTGTTGAATTACATTTCATGTCTACTACTCATGCCAAGAGGATCCCCTGGTAGCAGCAAAAATCCTTCTCTTTTTAATGGTAAATGACCAGACACTTTCTGGTAGGAAAGTAACATACCAAACCCCACTGTAGTCAGGAGATGACTGAATCATTAATGGAATAGAGAGCCACAGAAGTGCAGTAATCTAGTTTTAATGTTTTTCCTATGGAACCTGGAGGAGGCTTTTAACTTGGTAAGTTGTTTTAAAGGACCAATTCTCTCCCATTAATGTTGATGTAAATCTTGTCACTCCAGTGTAGTGTTAGACTTGTGAAATCTCACAGATAAGTTCAGTTGCTTCTAGTTCTTACCGTAATCTCTCCACCTCTGCATCATCTACAAGAAAATCTCTTTTTTGTACCAGTCTATGGATCTTCTGAATCAGTTCATCCTCTCTTTGTTTCTCCATCTTTGTTTTTTCTTTTTCTGGTCAAAAACAGAGAAAAGAGACTATTACTTTGGATTCTAGGGAACAGGGTGGGGGTGTGGACATTGCAGATGTCTAAGAATGAATTGCTGATTGAAGTCAATAGTTCTTCAGAGCCAAGTCACCAAAACCCCAGTGAGTTCTGCTTACTGCTTCTTTTTTTCTCTTCTACTTGCTGCTGTCATGTCTGATCAGCTTAATGGTCTGGAGACTCTATGGGGCTTGCCAAGTGTACTTTTACTATTAAATTACTCTGCAAGACACTGATTTTTTGAAGAGCTTTGGTAAGAAAACAGTCCAGGATGCTTCATTAAAATCCATGGTACAAACTCCCTTTGACCTCAGGGAAAATGAGACCAATCCAAAAGGAACCATTTCTCTGTATTTCATGACAGCTTTGGCTGTTGACTACACCACTTTTTTTCTACTCTGGTAAGGCAGGTGAGCTGCAAATCCATACAAATAGCATCAATTGTGTAATGTGGAAAAATAAATGAAAGTGTTTGTTTTCCCTATGCTTCAAAAATCTGAGTAATTAATATATGTCCTTGCTAACTGGCCAGTCTGTAATGACTAGGTTGTCTATAAAGGATTTTTATGACATGAAAGATGTGCCTGCCACAAACTAAAACTCATGAATGTTAGGGATTACAGAGCTGTAGTTCAAGGTTATAAAGCAAATGTAGCTAAGACAGAAATCTTCAAAGCTAGCAGGTAGAGCAGAGATGAGAAAGCCAGAGGCAAATCCCAGCCCGCATTATTTTCTCAAGAAGCTGAAAATTTTTATTAGATGAGAAGATACTTTGCAGTAAATCAGGAATTTTGGTTTTGAGCAGTAGAACTGTGTTTAGAGAACCATAAAATTAAGTAAAATAAGAGTTGTGGGAAGACGGGCAAGCTGTCTGCAGTCTGATGCATCTGAGCTATGTTATGTCTGCTGACTGAACTTACAAGGTATCTTAAACAGCTAAATAAATCAGACATTTGAAAATAATTGTTTAATACAGCTTAATTTTGGATCATGGGCTTCAGGATATTTACTACTGGGAATTTCTGCAATAAATCCATTCTTTAGTGAGATAAAAGCACCTTGAATATATTATCAAGAAAATTAAATTCTTGAAGTCTCAATCTCAAAGTCATACTCCTTCGAGAATTTTAAATTGCA